TATTTTATGAAGTCTAAAATTTAATGTCAAATGGGTAAGACTGGAAAGATTGGGCCCCCGCCCCTGTGTAAAACCCCCAAACAGCTTTAATTTTTGTCACCTCGGCAGACTCAAAAAATTGGGCATTTTTTATTTATGTTTAAAATTGAAAACCCTTTTTAACCCAACAATGAACAATTCTAAATTCAAAGAAGGGCAAGTCCATTTGAAAAATTCAGTGAGAAGAGAATATATGGGTAGTGGGGCAATCTACCTTACCTTTTGTTGCTGCTTTAAGTAAAAACTGCTGACTCATTACCTCAGTGATTCAATTGCAAATGTTAGTGTGTCATCAGAATGAAATAAGTCAAAAAAAATTTAACTGAAAATCAACTTAGATTAATCTTACTTATATATAAAAGGTGCATTTTCTTCCAAGAAGTTATCTGTGCTAGAATTTAAATTTTGATGTAAAAGATGTGTGTGGATAGAAAAATATTTCATATGAACTTGAGAAATTGTTTTTACAATAAATAGGCAATATTGTACCCTTCATAATCATCAATTTAAAAGTTGAAGTCATTGTGAAAATGAAAATGAAATGAAAAGTAAGACAGTTAACAGTATAAAATCTTTGATCCTTCAAAACGTAAATGATTTTAAAGGTGGACTCCTCTGATCTTATGTCTTTATTATATTTATAAAGGTTTTCATGTTTTATAAATAGATAAACAAAGTTCAAAATTTTATAAAAATACAGTGTATAAAGATGTTAACAAACCATGTGGAAAATTACTGCTTGAAAGCATGATTAAAGATAACTTTTTCACTTTCCATGTCATGCTAGTGCATGAAAAATGTTAAGTGAATCGGAAAATTTTATAGACCTTAATCTTTATTTTTCCAGCAGATTAAAATTCACAAATATTTGGGCTGTACTGTGGTTGTGTAGGAAATTTTGATTGATGAATTTTGATTATTTGCTGCACGTTATGTGTATGTTATGTTTGGGGAACACCAAATAGTAATTTGTTGACCAAACTATTTGTAAAGGTTTTAAAAGAAATGTGCTATTTTGTATGGTCTCTAGACAGCAGACAATTTTAAATGTGTTTTTTAGTTAAGATTAAAAAAAATGTAGCATCACAAGAAATTACATAGATATATCATTTTAGATAGCAGTTTATTGTTTAAAAGGAGAAAAGCAGTTTATGTAAATTGACAAATTTGAAATGTTTGATAAAAATGAAATAGAAATTAAAAAAAAACCAAAAAACAATACAAATACATGAGAACAAATACCCTAACAGTACATGTACTAAACCCTTATATATAACTTATATGGAAAAGAAACATTAAAATATAACAAAACATAGTTAAGTTTGTTTCATTAAATTTTGTCAATTTAATCAGCACAAGTTTCTGCATTATTTACTACCTTTATACCTTCAGGTTGTAAAACTTTGACTGTTAATGTAAATACCACCCAGTGGTATAAAATTTGATAAACAATTGACAAGAGCTATTAACTGATTGATATTTCTGTTGATAAATGTTTTATAAATACTTAACCTTCACCCAGCTAAATTTATATAATAAACTTCACCTGCTATGATTTTGGATATGTTCATTGTTAATTTGAAGGGATTTCAATTTAAGGTGTTTAAACTTAAAGGGCAGCCAGTAGAGCGGGGGCTTGTCAAACTGCTTATACCCGAGATTGTTGGCCTTATATCTATTGGTTGTGTAGGGGCTTTTAATTTTAATACTGGATGTGTAGTGGCCAAGTTGTTGAAGTCCAACACTGTTAAATTAATGTATAGAGTTAGTCATTGTTAGTTGATGTTGGTTTGGGAACATTTTAATGTAAAACTCACCTCTTAGGCATATACAAATAGAAATTTTTTAACATTTTTCAAAAGGGTTATTTATACCACACAAAATTATGAAGTTTTTCATTTTATCTATGAAATTAGTCAGTCATTGATATTATTTTGTTTTACTAATGTTTGGGAAAATTGATTTGAAAAAGGGAACCTTTTCATTTTATAATGATTAGTCGATCATTGTATCATTGTTGAAGTTGTCTTAGGAAATAGAGAAAATATGAATCTATAAAGAAAGCCCCAAATGGCAAAATTGAAAATGTAACAGGCTCAGCCCTATTGAGCAGGAAGGTTATATGTAAATAATAAATTATTTTTTTAAGTGTATAAATGGAAATAAGCACATAAAACAAAGGAGGGTAACCCTAATGGTTATGGTATATGCCTCTCAACACAGAGGTCATGGGTTCAATATTCCGATTTGGATTGTCAAAACCATATTTTCCTCTAATGGTACAGGGTCTGTCCAATGTTGTCTGATATCTAGGAAGAGATTGATTAATCAAGTCATGATATATTGTGTCGCAATCAAATTTTAATATATTTTAAGTTGATACCCTAAGGCAATTAGTTTTTCTTATCATTTAACCAATTAAATGTTAATGAATAGTCTTTGCCATAAGTATAGAGCTAGGCAAGCATCTACATTAGCAGTCTGACCAGCTAGGCCCTATACTGGCAGGGTTCAGGTGCTAAGTATGGTCACAGTTGTTCGGCAAGACAACACAAAAGTACAATGGTAACACTATAGTGACATCACAAATTTACTCTAGTTGAAACCCTCACCAATAGAGCTATCTCTCTGGGTTCCGAAAGTTTTGGCAGTCAACGAAATTGGACACGAGCAGTGCATTGACTACAGCCAAACAATTATTTAATGCCCGAACTTTGAGACACTGTTGACTGACTAGCTTTTAATATTCTTCTTGATATTCCCAAAGAAAGCTTGACAAGTCCATTTAGAAAATTCAGAAAGTTTTCAAGTTAAATAGCATTTTTGGGGTAGATTTAGATAAACTTTTATTGACAAGAGCTTGTGTACATGTACAAATAAAATAGATTGAAAATTGAAGCATTGATAATTGAAACACTTGTAGAATTTTAGGACAACAAATTGAATGATTAATGCCACTGTCATATGAATGTTTTATACATAGATTACATTTTGTATACTATAAGTATTAGGATACTTATCATGACCTTAGGAGTTGTACAGTATTAAGTGTTGTAAGTAGGTTGTTGTGCTATTTCCTTTTTCCCACCATGTTCCATTGTTTTGGACAAAAAACTAGAATGTATTATTATACAACAACTGAATAGATTAGAGAATTAACTGCACAGAACAATATGACTTTTTAGTATGACCTTATTATAAAGATGAATTGTTTATGTACATGTACAGTGTTTAACTGTCCACCCTGGGGGTGATGGGATTTAGCAAGTGGGGATAATGAGGGTTATCAATAAGATTTTCCTGAGTCAGTCAAATTTAAATTTGAGGTGGTCCTTATTTTCGTTTTATCACATACAAGAATAAGTGTTTTCTCAATTTTGAGAAGGTCTAAAATGCATTTGAGACAGTCATTATGGCTTCCATCCTCTAAATGACATCTTTGGGGATAGACTGATGAGTTCCTCATGAAACACTTCTATTGGTTAATCAAATAATGTCACCAACCAAACACTTTCAGTCGTTTATTGTTAGACAAGTAAAATGAGCATATAATTAAGAAATTTTAATAGAAAACTATTTAAGTGGAGTTTCTTTAAGTTGTAAAGATGCTTTACAGTATATACATTTGTTAAACAATATATGATGATGACAATTTTTTATACAACTATTTCAGGCGAGAATCCATGTGGCAGTAATAATGGCGGGTGTTCTCATCTGTGTCTGATGTCACCAATATCTCCGCGATACAAGTGTGCTTGTCCAACTGGGGTCCGATTACTTCCTGGAGAGAAGATATGTGCTGATGGTAAGATATTTGAGCCGCGTCATGACAAAACCAACATAGTGCGTTTGCGACCAGCATGGATCCAGACCAGCTTGCGCGTCTGCGCAGTCTGATCAGGATCCATGCTGTTCGCTTACCAACTCAATAACAAGTAGAGAAACTGAAAGCAACAGCATGGATCCTGATCAGACTGCGTAGATGCGCAGGCTGGTCTGGATCCATGTTGGTCGCAAACGCACTATGTTGGTTTTGTTGTGACGCAGCTCATTTTTCTTTATATGATCTTCTAAATCATTGGACGGAGACAGATTCTACCAGTGCAGACCAAGGACAGCTTGCACTGCTTTGCTGTCTGATCATGGTCTGCACTGTTTACTTTTTAGTGAGTACATATTTTAAAATTTTTCCTAAAAATGTTGTATGGTTATGTCCAGATTGAAAGATGTACAAGTCTGTTTATGATAATTAATATGATTAGATTGAAGCATTAACAGCATCTTTGTTAGGTCCGTGCCAATTTGCATATTTGTGAATTCTGACCATTTTGGCCGCTTCATGCTATTGTTGGATCTAGAAAATCTGTGATATTAACAACTTTAGGCATTCAGTAGGGATATGCGATGTATATATATATAGTGGCTGTCTTGTCTTGCCCATCTATTATGTTATTTTGTTTATTGAAACTTCATGTCAAGTTTTCCTAGCACAAGAAGGTACAGTGTATGCATATTTGCAGCAAGTTCAGCAATTACACCATTATGAACATTGACTAGTTTTTGTTTTCTAACAATTTCTAAGCAAGCATTGATTGAAATTCATCAAATCATCCTAAATGCATCCCTCCCAAATGAAGTTTTGCAGACCACTGAGATCAGTATTTATTATTTAACAAGATCAAATAGTGCATAGCTCTTTTGAAAAAAATCTGAATAATGTAAAACATGAAAAAGGATTGAAGGCAAGTTTTTTAGTCCCCTACCGGTTTACCGGAGGGGACTTTAGGTTTACCCTCCGTCCGTCTGTCCGTCCGTCCGTCCGTCCGTCCGTCCGTCAGTCCGTCCGTCCACAAAACTGGATCTCGCGATAACGCAAAAAGTACTGAAAATATTTTAATGAAACTTGATATATGGATAGATGGCAGTATGGAGATTATGCACGTCTTTTTCTTTTCTTCCTATGTTGAAAATTCTGGTTGCTATGGCAACAAATAGACTGAAAATATGACAAATTTTACACATAACCTGGATCCAGTGATAACACAAAAAGTACTGAAAATATTTTTATGAAACTTGATATATGGATAGATGGCAGTATGGAAATTATTCACATCCTTTTCTTATCTTCCTATGTTGAAAATTCTGGTTGCTATGGCAACAAATAGACTGAATTTCAAGATTTCTGATTCTAGTTTTTAAGTTTTTTCACTATAAGTTCTTTATTTCTTAAGGTATTTTCTTCAAACTTTAAATATAAGTTGCTTGTCATCAACCACATCATATGTGACAAGGTTTACAACTCTAGCACAAAATTTATCAGAATTACCTCCCTTGAACTTGAAATTTCATGAAAAAAACATTGTTTTTTTTTAATAACTTCTTTTTCTGAATGTATCTACTTCAAACTTCATATAAATGTTTCTTATTGTCACTCACATTTGTGAGTGTTCAATACTCTAGCAAGACTATTTCCAGAATTATGCCCCTTTTGAACTTAGACTTTTTTTTGAGAAAATTGGTAATTTTTACTCCAACTTCTTCAATCATGATAGGATTTTAAAAATGTTATATTTTGATAACAGGGATGTTTAAAAAATAACTTTAGAGTGTCTTTCAGTCTGTCTGTACATAAAAACTATTTCCTGTGATCACTTTTAAAGAACTTTTTCAACAAATTTACTTAAAATAGGAACCTAAGTGAATGGCCAATGGTCCTTCAAAATGTTGCTTGGGCTCTTACCGGTAGGGGACTTATGGATTGCTTGCAATACTATGATAATTGCTTGTTTTTAATGACCTTCATTAAGAGGTTTTCATTATTGTTAAGAAGTCACCAGTTGAAATAAGTTGTAGAAAATGAGTAGAATCTTATTTCTTTAATGAAATTTGTTGTCCAATACAATAATCATCCTGTTTTATGTTAAATGACTTTAATAATGCCTTTAATTGGTTGATGTAAAATGTTGAAAGGGGAGGGGGTTATAATAAAAAATTGCCACTTAGTGTTTCATTGCATCATACATGGTGTAATTGTACTTTTAACATTTACAGTTTTATAACTTACCTGGGGGTTATTGCAGTTAATCATTAATGAAAATTAATCAAAGTTTTTAAAGGTTGTAAAACATTTAAGGTAAGGGGGGAAAAATAGTGTTGGTGACATTTGTAACATATCAAAATGAAAAACCTCTTCTTTTAACGTAAACCTGTCAAATAAACATATTTTTCAAATTCTTCATCAAATAAACACCCTTTCTAAATGCCACCTTCAAATAAACACCCTGTCTATATAGAACCTTCACATAAACACCATTTCCAAATTGCTCTTCAAATAAACAACCTCTTTAAATAGACATCCTCTCCAAATGCCCCCTCAAATAAACACCCTCTCCAAATGCCCCCTCAAATAGACATCCTCTCCAAATGCCCCCTCAAATAAACACCCTCTCCAAATGCCCCCTCAAATAAACACCCTCTCCAAATGCACCCTCAAATAGACATCCTCTCCAAATGCCCCCTCAAATAGACATCCTCTCCAAATGCCCCCCCCCTCAAATAAACACCCTCTCCAAATGCCCCCTCAAATAGACATCCTCTCCAAATGCCCCCTTCAAATAAACACCCTCTCCAAATGCCCCCCTCAAATAGACACCCTCTTTAAATAACATCCTCTCCAAATGCCCCCCTCAAATAGAAAACCTCTCCAAATGCCCCCCTCAAATAAACACCCTCTCCAAATACCCCCCTCAAATAAACACCCTCTCCAAATGCCCCCTCAAATAGACATCCTCTCCAAATGCCCCCTCGAATAGACATCCTCTCCAAATGCCCCATTCAAAAAGACACCCTTTCCACATCAAATGCCCCATTCAAATAGACACCCTTTCCACACCAAATGCCCCATTCAAAAAGACACCCTTTCCACATCAAATGCCCCATTCAAAAAAACATCCTCTCCAAATACCCCCTACAAATGATCACTCTCTTTAAATCCTTCAAATAGCCACCCTGCACACATACTTCTTTAAGTGAAAGGGAGGCTCAGAAGGTTTTATTTTAGAATTGAAGTCCTCTATGGTCTTTGATTCTATCAATTATTAAGTTGATGACCATGCCTGTCAGATCCGGAAACATGACCATTAACCTTCATAGTGTCTGGTTTGCTTGTTATATTTTCCAGAAAATTTTCAACATATCTTATAAATATGTTGCTTAGGCTTGCTTTATACCATCATTGGAGACAATTTTGTCTTTTTTGTTAGCAGTCTAACACTACAATACTAAATCTACACTGTTAGTAACTTAATTTTAATATTTCTATTGCAATAATTAAGTCCATTTTCAAAGCAGAAATTTTCAATAACATAAATACTGCATGATATAATAATTATGTTTAATACCCAACCCATACCACCACATGATGTTTTATAGGGTGTTTAATATAGATTTTATGGTATTTATCCTATATTTAGAAAACAACAGACTAAACTTTAAGCTTATTAGATCAATTAAGTAATTGTGTGTGGTCTTAATTGATGACTGGCATCACCAAGATCACTTGTATTACTAGTGATTGACAGATTCATCAATTCATTCTTTTAATTGATTTGATACAAATACCTGAAAGTTTAATTACATTAATAGTAAAACAAGATATGTAAGGGGAAGAGTTTAATTAGACTAGTAATTTTAGATATCTTTTTATAGCTTAATTAGTAATTTTATTTTTTCAATATGTTTTTTTTCTACACTGTTTATACAAATTTAAAGTACATTAAATGTCATATCAACTTTAAATGTGCATAAAAAAGAAAATCTGTTTTGCGGTAAATTGTAAAAAAAGAAACTTCCATGATATGCTATTTTTGTGTATGATCATGTATACATATTGATAATTTATGATAGTTAAGATCATATCAAGGAATGTTAAAAATGATTGATTATATAATGGTAAACATTATGGTGTTTTATGATGATAAAATCCACTGTTTAGCAGCCAAACAAACACCTGGGCTTAACATATCTATAGATTGCACAGCTCTCCATTTTTACATGTAATTTACATGGGTTTTTTTTATGAGAAATGTTATTTTGAATACTGTCATCATTTGCCTTGTAAAGTGTTTTATTATTCTGTTTTCTTTCTGTTTGTTGCTACTTTAAAAAAAAAAATTAGAAAAATGAGTTGGCACAATATTTAACCATATTAAGCTACTTTACTTTATAAAAATTGAAAAATTTCATTAGTAATTTACCTTGGTTAGTAATTAAACCTACCAAGGACATTTTGTTAATTAAAGGACATTGTGATTTAACAACAATCCTTTTTCAAAATTAAACTGGTAAATAAAAAAGACGGTGTGGAATCCAAATGCATTGATTTGGAATCCTTGTCCATTTTTATAAACAAAGAGGAGAAAATGAAGACAGACTCTGAAAACCATTTGTTTCTTACTTAAATAATCCAAATTTTTGGTGCTTGTAAGAAATTCTAGACTCAAAAAATAAGGGAAATGTTGCCATTTTCTGATTTAACACCATGAAATCATGATGCAGAACCTCTACTAGCTATTATTAAATAAAAGCTAGAATTATTTACTTTGAGGTAATACAGCAAAATGAAGGGGATTTGTCATTTATCTCTAAACTAAGAAAAGGGAAATATGGGTAAATTTATGTTCATGAAGTACAAGTGGTATATCAAGCTTCTCTGGCCATTTTGGAGATTGTTTTCTTGTCTAGGTGCTACTTTTCCAGACTCAAAAAAATAGAGAAAGAATAATTAGTCCCCTACCGGTTTACCGGAGGGGACTTTAGGTTTACAGTCCGTCCGTCTGTCAGTTCGTCCGTCCACAAAACTGGATCCCGCGATAACTTGAAAAGTACTGAAAATATTTTTATGAAACTTGGTATATGGATAGATGGCAGTATGGAGATTATGCACGTCTTTTTCTTTTCTTCCTATGTTGAAAATTCTGGTTGCTATGGCAACAAATAGGCTAAAAATATGGCAAATTTTACACATAAACTGGATCCAGTGATAACGCAAAAAGTACTGGAAATATTTTTATGAAACTTGACATATGGGTAGATGGCAGTCTTGGAATTATGCACGTCTTTTTCTTTTCTTCCTATGTTGAAAATTCTGGTTGCTATGGCAACAAATAGGCTGAAAATATGGCAAATTTTACACATAAACTGGATCCAGTGATAAAGCAAAAAGTACTGGAAATATTTTTATGAAACTTGACATATGGGTAGATGGCAGTCTTGAGATTATGCACGTCTTTTTCTTTTCTTCCTATGTTGAAAATTCTGGTTGCTATGGCAACACATATACTGAAAATATGGCAAATTTTACACATAAACTGAATCCAGTGATAACTCAAAAAGTACTGGAAATATTTTTATGAAACTTGACATATGGGTAGATAGCAGTCTTGATATTATGCATGTCTTATCTGTTCTTCCTATTTTGAAAAAATATCAGTTGCCTTGGCAACAAATAGGCTAAAAACATGGCAAATATAACAATATTTGTGATAAGTCAAAAAGAGCTGAAAATTTTTATGAAATTGCATCATTAATTCAAGAGTTATCTCCTCTTTAAGAATTTTGCTTTTAAAATGTTATATTTTGGTTACAGGGATGTTTCAAATATTAACTTTAGAGTGTCCTTCAGTCCGTCTGTCTGTCTGTTCATAAAAACTGTTTCCTGTGATCACTTTTAAAGAACTTTTCCAACAAGTTTACTTAAAATAGAGAAAAATTGAAACATAAGTGATTGGCCAATGGCCCTTCAGAATGATGATGGGGTTCTAACCGGTAGGGTACTTATGGATTGCTTGCAATACTATGATAATTGCTTGTTTATCAAGCCTGAACAATAATTTATCAAAACAGAACTTATGGCATTCATGTTGCCTCAAATTTACTGCAGCAATTTTATTTTATCCCACAAAATCAAGCTTTTTATTTTACGTTTTGATTGTACAAAATTGTAACTATTAGAACTTGAGTTGAAATAAAGCTATTAACAATATGACATTATTTCAGAAGTAACAAAACTTGAGATACTATATCTCAACAACCATTCAATGGTATCTCTTGAAATATCAGAACTCACTTCATCTGTCTCTTTGAGGTAGATATATATGTATCTGTCTATCTTGCTATGTTGAAATTGAACAAAAAAAACTTAAAATGTTAGATGTTATCATAAAGTCTTCACAGACAAAATACATTAATTCAAGTGTTTATCATTCCATTACATCTTATATATTAAATGCAGATTCACTTTTGTATATATATTTTACATTTTCCTGTCTCCGACTTTGAAGGTCAATGAAGTTGTTGCCCCAGGTATACTTGCACTAATGTAATTTCTAGACTAATTATTTATGTTATATTAATGTTTAGGCTATTTTACTCGAGCATTTATTTTGAATTACGCTGTTATTCAGCTGATATTTAAGTATCATATTGTAATTCTACTTTGAAATAATCATCTTTTGCCAAGACATTAATGTGTTAATGCATTTTGTTTAATTTACAGCTCACCTGAATAACTCTTTCCCTTAATTTACATGTAATACTTAATTGTTCTGCACTGTAGTTGTTTGTGAATTATAATTACCTTGATTTTGTAAATTCCATAAATTTGATTTTGTCAAGTAAGTCGGAATTTAAACAGTATTAAATTCAAGCCATACTTTTATCTATAATATTAGAAAACATAGTGGGGTATATGTAATTGTTAGAATTATAACAACAGTAACTCTTGGACCATCAACAACATAACAGTAGATCTGAACAAGCCTGAACATTTGGGTACTTTATGTATTTTTAGCATTCTTATGCTGAAAGCCCTTCAGGTAATAGTTGTTACTAGCGTGAACATTTGCACACATTTAGTTGTGTTTACACAATGGTTGAACTACTGAACGAAATGTAAAATATATTTTGCATTGGGTGCTCTCTGATTGTATTCATGTTGTTGTTTTTTGCGACCATTTGGACAATTTCAGAAATGAGCACTGCCAAGAACATTTAATATTTTTGAATTTAAAGAGATTTTTCTCCTCTCCTCCAAGTACATTATCAGCTTGTTTTTACCACAGAGACTAATGATAATCAAAATAAGCACATGAGCTAAATAGATAGACATATTGAATACATTGAAGAGTTTATATAATTAGAAGTAGTAAAATATCATTAAGAAACAGTACCGGTATATATTGATGAAAAAAATCCTGCTTTTATTGCATATGAAACCATATTGTTTAAGTATGAACATGTTTTCTAGCATTATTCCATGCCTTACAGGTATTTTCTAAAATTTTAATTCGAATGTGTTCTTCTGTTTGATGATGAATCACGTAGTATAAATTTTAATTGTTTTCTTCATTTTCAATGAAGAAATTTTTTTGGAACATGTTAATGATGTGATTATATAAAATATGTGTAAAGGAAATCTATATTAGGAAACAATATCCTGAAATGTGTAGACTGTTTATATACCTGTCTCTCGTTAGACAAAATATGGCCAGTATTTTCATTTTATAAGCTACAACATTAATGCTTGGACACAACAGACCTGTGGGCATCGATGAGCTTACTGAATATGTTCTTATCTACCAGGTCGCCTTCAAAGTCAAATTTCTGAATTAAGGAAACTTAACCCACACTTTGTGATTTTAGCTGGAGACAACATATCCGTTATATTAATGTATCACTGTCTTTCCTTTTCTGAAACACTCTAAAAGTTTTAGGAATTAAGTTTATGCAATAATTAACACTTTACTTTGCTCAATATCTTTTATAGACTTGTTCATTTTTCAATCTGGACAAAACCATCCATCTATTTTATGGACAATTTAATAAAAAATAATCTACATAATGGCAAACGTAGTACACCATGATCAGATAAGTGTGCAAGGGTTGCATCAGTATAATTATTCAGTTGCTGCCAGCAGACTTAAACTTCACTAAGGGCTGAAGTTTTTCAATGGTTGGACTATCAATAAATTTGACTTTGTTGTTTATCATCGAGCTTTATCATATGATCATGAATCAACAGTTTTTTTGGAACCTTTTATGAATTCTGTATTTGATTTGTAAATATTTTGATGAATTTTTTTGGAAACAGACTGTGTATTAAATAAAATCTTGTTTTAAAGAGGGGGGAAAAAAACAACAAACAAAAAAAAACATTTTTTTTTTCAAATTCAAGATAAATGTTAGAGAAAGGAAAGTAAAACTGAACTCAATTTTCTTTGCGAAATAATTCTAATTTTGTTATTTTCGCTATTTAAGGTGTAGAGGAGATGTTACTGCTGGCTCGTAGGACTGACTTAAGGAGGATCTCACTTGATACCCCAGATTTCACAGACGTAGTACTGCAGCTAGACAATATTAAACACTCTATTGCTATAGATTATGATCCCGTGGAGGGATATGTATATTGGACAGATGATGAAGTGAGGGCTATAAGAAGGGCCTTTCTTAATGGAACAGGTACTGCAAATTGAATTTTTTAAATGCAGAACTTTTTTGTGGGTTTAGATCTTATCTGGTTCCTGGCTGTATGGGAGCTGTAATTTGTGCAAAAAATTGTCAATGAAACATTGAGATCTTGTCTGTGTAAATAGGAATTAATAGATTGATTGATAAGTTAACCAGGAAGTGGATACAATTAAGATAATTGGAAACATAAATATTTTATGGTTGGTAATTTGTTTAGGAAATTATTGAATATTTTGTGGCTAGAAATATTTGTTGATTGTTTTATAATTAAGTTATCATCAAATCAGCGCCATCTGGTGGAGAATATAAAAGAAGAGGTCATGTGATAATAGAGTTGATAGGATTATATTAATATTGATGTTATTACGAAACTCTGCCTAATAAAAGTGCATGAGGTTTCATGTAAAAAGGAGGAAAAGTTACTATCATTTAGGTTCATACTAATAGAAAATTGTTACATGTTATCATAAATCATATTTCACATAGTGATTGGTCATAACCAACAGATGATTCGTATTGCTTTTAGGGTCACTAGATCAAAGGTCAAGGTCACAGGGGCCTTAAATGTCAAAAGTCTTCATATTTCAAATTCAATGATTGGTTATAACTAGTAATTGACCCCAATTCATTTTTGGGGTCAAGGTTACAGGTTTCTTGAATGTTAGTATGGTTTCTATTCATTATCTTGAAAGGTATTTATCACAAAGTCTTCATAATTCTAATATAGATTGGTCATAACTATTAGATGACCCCTATTGATTTTGGGTAACTAGTTCTAGGTCTAGGTCACAGGGGCCTTAAATGTCTCATTATCTTGAAAATTTATTTATCACAAAGTCTTCATTATTTTTCTTTTCCATAATTGAACACTTCCATGTACCCATTAATGGCAAGTTAATGTAACAAAATTACCAATTATGTGAGTCAAGGGCTAAGAAAGGAGGCATATGTGTTGTTCGACATTTCTTGTTTTTGAATTAGTTAGGTTTATGATTTTAACCCTTGCCCATCTATAACTGCATACAGCCAAGTCAGCCTGAATGTTCCTTGCAGTCTTACCATGTTCAGTACCTGTCACTGATTAATTTTGAATTTTCATCTGTATGTCCCCTAAATTTATAATAAAAAAATGGATGTTACAAAACGACATGGTTTAAGGATTAAGTTTATATCTATATACATGTATACCGGTTCTTAGAAGAGAGTAAATATTTTGTTCAAGCATAGGTGACAATAACTTTGTAACTTACCATGTGTTTCAGGTCAAACAGTATTAATTGACACAGAAGTGGATCATCCGGATGGGATAGCTGTAGATTGGATAGGACGCAATCTATATTGGACTGATACGGGTACTGATCGTATTGAAGTGGCTCGACTTAATGGAACATCAAGGAAAATTCTCATATCAGAAAATCTTGATGAGCCGAGAGCAATCTGTTTAGATCCAGAGAGAGGGTATGTTAGGGAAAGCAATGATATTCATGATAGATATTTTCATCCATATCTTACATTTGTCATACCTCTGGCATTATTGTTGAAAGCTATAATTGATGTGAAATATGTCTCAGCTATTTATTTATAAATCAGTTGCATACAACTTGCTGAAAACTCTTCTGATGTAAAGTTAGGCTTCTGTATGAGCAACATGTTTTTTTAATGAAATTTAATGTTATATTTTGTGTTGAAAATGCTCTATATTTGTTTACCTGCATTTGCTAACAAAAAGTGTGTTAGGTCAGATGTATACAGTAAACTTCACTTATAGCGAACACGGTTATAGCGAACTTCCGGTTATAAGGAACAATTTATTTTGGCCCGAATTTTGCCCTTCTTTATTTAATATAAAAATATGCGGTTATAGCGAACACGGTTATAAGGAATTATCGCTTATAAGGAACTCATTTCTTAGTCCCAATTTAGTTAAAAGTGCATAAAATTACACTTTTATAACGAACTTCAAATATCGGCTATTCGTAAATATATCCCGCATTTTCAACTGGCACGGAATAAAACTCGCGGAATGTACCGTTTATTGTTGTATGTAATTCAATATATGAAAATGATTTTGTATAGAAGTATGTAATAGTTTTCAATTTAGGACATGTTTAGCTTGAGTTCTTGTCACAAAGATAAAACGGTAATTCCTTTTATTCTATAATTTCTTTTCTTTAATAGTTTTGCTCGAGTAAAATAATTATCGGTTTTCAACATAATCACGCATGCTTGCAAACATAATCCATAGAAAACTACAAAGTATGCTTGATTGAAATGAAAAGAAATCTTTATATTTCATAAGTTAAAGTCACCCTTAAAATATAATAGAAGATATTCAATATAAAAGGAAGAAAAATGGAAAATCTTGTTTATTCTTATTCATTGAAAGAAAACGAAAAACACTGAGTTAAGAAACAAAATATGATGTTTTATGAAAAATTGAGAAAGAGAGTAAAACTAAAACTGAAATAGCTAAGGATTTTTCAAATTCCAAAATGTACGCTCTCGGGTATTGTGTCTAAAAAAGAATAAATGACTAATTATTCTTAATCAAATGCTCTTAAAAATGGCGGCCGATGTTTAACAATCAGTTCGTTATATGTAAATCTGTTCGCTATAAAAACTCCTAATACAAGGAACTAATTCGCTATATGCTTACAAGGAACTCCGGATATAAGGAACATATTTTGAATGTCCCAATGAGTTCGTTATAAGCGGAGTTTACTGTAATGTATTTTCTTTTGTCAAATAGAACAATGTGGTGGACAGACTGGGGAGCTGTTCCTAAAATAGAGACAGCCTTCATGGATGGCACAAATAGAGTAACTGTGATTGACAAAGACCTTGGCTGGCCCAATGGTATTGTTGTGGACTACGATGATAATAAGATATACTGGTGTGACGCTAAACTTGATAAAATAGAAGTGGCCAACATGAATGGTACAGGACGCCGAGTTCTAGTTAAAGACAATCTACCGCATCTATTTGGCTTTAGTTTACTAGGTATGTTTGTTATATACCGCATCTCAGTAATCCATGACATAGTTATCAGGGCTTTTTTTCACAGGTTTGGGAAGCAGCCCTGCCCTTAATTTTGGGGGAAAATTGCATGGTATATTTTTAAAATGGGAAGAAAAAACTTGATGATATTTCAATTTTGGGGGAAAACTGCATGATTTTGAAGAATTTTTCTTTGGGGAAGTAGCCCTGTAATGGTCCATGCTATAGAAGACAAAAGCTCTGGTTATGGTTCTTTGACAATTACTTTCATTTATAATTTGGACGACATGAATTAAGTTTCAAGTGAATACTATTAGTTGACAGATTATTAATAATTTCTTAGATGATTTGTTTGTAATTATGTCATGTAACTTAAATGAAATCTTCCTCTTTGTTGATTCCTACAATTATCTAGGCTCTTGTTATACTGTCAATGGCTGAGAATAGTAGTTTGCTGTCTTATTGAGGGTTCTTGTTGACATTATTAGGAAGATTTTAATATTTTAAACACCTGAACATCAATAATTTGCATTGCAGGTGTAATTTTACTGTAATCAGAAAATGGAGGAAGATTTCTTTTTCTGGAATGAAGGATGTATAGGGTTAATACATGTTTGATTGTTAATGCTTATTGTAGGTGATTATTTATACTGGACGGAGTGGCAAAGAAGATCAGTAGAGAGAGTAAATAAGAGAACAGGAGGAAACAGAACTCTAATTATAGACCAGTTACCTGACCTGATGGGGCTAAAGGCAGTTAAAGTGAAGAAAACTGCAGGTAATGAAAACAACATTTTTCTATGCTTTAGATATGACATTTTGTGGGTTGTTTTTATATGTGATTTTCCTGTGTCAATGAACAGTTAGTATCCTTGTTTATTATTTTTGCGATTTATGTTATAGTATTCATTTTCCCGAGGCTTGCCCAGGTCATGATCACTACTCTTCAAAAATTACTGGTGCAATTCCATCCAAACTTTACAGGAATGATCAGTACCAAGTTAGGTATCTTATGGTGTTATGATTTTTGTCACAGTTATGGCCCTTGAGTAAAAAACATGTTTTGTCCAATCATGATGGCTCTTGTTTAACATTGTCAGAGCAACCTTGAGGAGTATCCATAGGCATTCAATGTTTTCATTATAAAATGATTGGCGATCCATATCATCAGTTAAAATGCTGTTAAAATCAGTTGTATTTTCAGTCTGTATGTTTAAATATCCTCCTTGACCGCTGGCCAATTTGGTTGTTTTAATAAGCACATCTATTGCTTCAGATGAAAAATGAAAACCCAGGGCATTTCAGATATTGATGTATATAATTGGTGGTATGATTTATGGATAGGAAAAGCTGTACTTCTTACAAATCTTAATTGTTAAACATATCTGTAACAATGAAATCCAATTATCAGATTTCCATGATCCTGAAAATTTATTCCTAAACTAGTACTTTCCCCACTTATTGAAGTAATGTAAAGCTGATGATTAAGTGTATAGACCTGAGACAAGCATTTTCTCATGCATAATATCACAATAACATTGATTAACAGTTAAATCTATTTCTGAAAATAGATTTGTTACTGATAAAATACAAGTTGGGCAAAACAGATGTGAATTTGATATGCAAACAATAACAAATGCTTGTGCCAACAAAAAAATAACATTAAGAGGAAGAAAGGAGAAAAAACATACCAAAAATAAGGGTTGAATGAGTTTATTTTTAAAATTATTGAATGTAATGCCGCCCATTTCAAGAGAACAATCAAGGCGCTTAAGGTAATTAGTGTCAGATTTGTTGTGTCGTAACAATCATGTTCCGGGACTATTACAAGGAGCTGTGCAGTTTGTGGTTTATTATACAGTCAATTGTTTAAACTGCATGTCTACACTTAAGCTGTTCTCAAGTGGATCACAGTTCATTAATACAGAATTAAACTACTTGAAAAATGCAATCAACCTACAAGGTGATTAATATTGTAACTATCTTGTGGGAAAAAAACAAATCTTTGCAGAAGATAAGTGTTTACAATGAATGGTACAAGTGTAAAACTTAATTTCATTCACAAATTACTAATTTCATTCACTTATTACTAATTTTATTTGCAGCCTGGCAAAGTTCTGTTTACAAACTGGCAAATTTCATTCACAAACTGGCAAAATTCCATTCACAAAATGGCAAATTTATTTTCACAAATGGCAAATTTCTATCAATTTATACTTGATAATTTTTCATTGCATGATATTTGTTTATTATACATTTAGACCTGATGAAGAAAAATTTCATTTCCAACTATAGAAGTACATCTGGATTAATTTTGTTTTACTCTTATTGAATGTGTATTCATGCTTGACCTGTCGGTAGAATAACAATTTTGAATAACCAATTTGCTTGATACAGCACATCAAAAAAGCGAACTCATGCAATATTCTATGTTTGTTTTATGTTTGAAATGCATTTTAAATGAATATAAATACAAAAAGAACACTAAAATATTTCAGGTACGAATGACTGTGCTAACAACAATGGTTGGTGTAGCCATCTGTGCCTGTACACACCAAAAGGTGCCCAGTGTGCCTGTCCAATGGGGCTTGAACTCATCAGTAAAGGCAAGAAATGTATAGTGCCGGAGGCATTTCTCCTGTTTACAAGGGAGCGAGATATAAAACGAGTGTCACTCTCAGAGTCTCACCGAGTTGTGCCAATACCACTGAAGGGCATTGACAAAGCTATGTCGCTGGACTTTGATATAGGAGATAATAGAATATATTGGACTGATGGGGATTTATTGGTAAGAATGATATTTCAATAGTTTTAATGATAAAACAGGTTATATGGCACATTATTAACAGTTTTAAGTTATATAGCCCTAGATACTATTAGCATGGGTTATATGGCAAATTACCATTTATATACAGCCATATAAACAGTCAAATGTCTTAATATTGAATTTCAATCTATAGTACTCCATTACTTTTTTTGATGAAAATAAAACTTATTTCATATAATCTGCAGCAGCTGTGTGTATACAATGTAGATAGTATCATAATTGACAAATAAAATTCAACATTACAAACTTACAGTATTGTTATAATGTTTTTAAGCTTCAAGTTCACTGTATCCCAAACAAAAGGAAATTGTTGATATATATTTCTGATAGAACACCCATTAGTTTATACATGAAGTTATTTTTTTCTTCTTTTGGCAATATATTTCACATATGGGAGGCCCTTAATAATGTTGTTATAACTTTTGGCTTTACCCTTTGTATTATTATTTTACATTAATGTATTTTATTATACCCCCAAAAACGAAGTTTGGGGGGGTATATAGGAGTCACTCGGTGGTCGGTCGGTCGGTCAGGCGGTCGGTCGGGCGGTCGGTCGGTCGGTCGGTCGGTCCAGACGTCCGTTGCATTTTCCTTGTCCGGAGCATAACTTGAAAACTAATAGTTGGAATTCAATATAACTACATACAATGGTCAAGCACATTGAGAGGAAGTGCAGTGCACAAGAACCATAACTCTATCTTGACTAATTACAGAGTTATTGCCCTTTGTTACTTTTCCTTGTCCGAGGCATAACTTGAAAACTACTGGTTGGAATTCAAAACAACTTCATACAATTGTCAAACACAATAAGGGGAAGTGCAGTGCACAAGAACCATAACTCTATCTAAAGTAATTACAGAGTTATTGCCCTTTGTTGCTTTTCCATTGCTTTTTTTTTTGTCCGTTGCATTTTCCTTGTCCGGAGCATAACTTGAAGACTAATTGTTGGAATTCAATATAACTACATACAATGGTCAAGCACATTGAGAGGAAGTGCAGTGCGTAAGAAACATAACTCTATCTTGACTAATTATAGAGTTATTGCCCTTAGTTACTTTTCCTTGTCCGTGGCATAACTTGAAAACTACTGGTTGGAATTCAAAATAACTTCATACAATTGTCAAACACAATAAGGGGAAGTGCAGTGCACAAGAACCATAACTCTATCCAAAGTAATTACAGAGTTATTGCCCTTTGTTGCTTTTCCATTGCCTTCTTTTTTTGTCCGGACCATAACTTGAAGACTAATGGTTGGAATTCAATATAACTACATACAATGGTCAAGCACATTGAGAGGAAGTGCAGTGCATAAGAACCATAACTCTATCTAAAGTAATTACAGAGTTATTGCCCTTTATTACTTTTCCATTGCTTTCTTTTGTACGGACCATAACTTCAAGACTAATTGTTGGAATTCATTATAACTTCATACAATGGTCCAGCACATTGAGAGGAAGTGCAGTGCACAAGAACAATAACTCCATCTTGATTTATTACAGAGTTACTGCCCTTTGTTTCTTTTCCTTGTCCAGAGCATAACTTTAAAACTACTGGTTGGAATTCAAAACAACTTCATACAATGGTCAAGCACAATAAGGGGAAGTGCAGTGCACAAGAACCATAACTCCATCTTGACTAATTACAGAGTTATTGCCCTTTGTTTCTTTTCCATTGCTTTCTTTTGTCCGGACCATAACTTGAAGACTTATTGTTGGAATTCATTATAACTTCATACAATGGTCAAGCACATTGAGAGGAAGTGCTGTGCATATGAACCATAACTCCATCTTGACTTATTACAGAGTTACTGCCCTTTGTTACTTTTCCTTGTCCACAGCATGACTTGAAAACTACTGGTTGGAATTCAAAACAACTTCATACAATGGTCAAGCACAATAAGGGGAAGTGCAGTGCACAAGAACCATAACTCCATCTTGACTAATTACAGAGTTATTGCCCTTTGTTACTTTTCCTTGTCCAGAGCATAACTTGAAAACTACTGTTTGGAATTCAGTACAACTTCATACAGTTGTCAAGGACATTAAAAGGAAGTGCAGTGCACAAGAGCCATAACTCCATTTTGACAAAATACAGAGTTACTGCCCTTTGATACTTTTCCTTGTCCGGAATTCTAAACAACTTCATACAATGGTCAAGCACAATAAGAGGAAGTGCAGTGCACAAGAACTATAACTCTATCTTCAGTATTTATAGAGTTATTGCCCTTTGTTCTTTTTCTTTGTCTTTCTGGACTTATTACAGAGTAATTCAATTAAACTTCATCAATGGCCAACCACATTCAAAGGAAATGCAACATATATGAACAACAATTATCTTTAATTGCCCACAACCATAACTCTATGTTTCAATTCTTTTAAAAGGTATTCTGTTACTAGTAACATCCTCATTTCCGAAGCAGACTTGTGGGGGTATTAATCACATTTAGTGATAGTTCTAGTTTATATTATTGTGAAATTTCATGTATGTATATGTATATACAAAAGAATATGATTAAACTGAATGTAATGCACCTAGTTACATAATCCTCGCATGATCAATTTCTCTTTCTAAAATTAATTACAAAATTTTCACATTTATTCTGCAACTCATGTAGGAGTTTTTATCAATTAATAATCTGTCAAGTGCACTTGTTGTCATGTTTTTTTTCTTACAGTCTATAAGCAGGGCATTCATGAATGGCAGTTCTATTGAGACAATAATTAAGTTTGGAATAACTGCACCCGAAGGTCTGGCAGTCGACTGGGTCGCTCACAATATTTATTGGGCTGATTCTAAAACCAATCGTATAGAAGTTGCCCGACTTGACGGGTCATCAAGAAGGGTTCTTGTCTGGGAAGGTCTTAGTCATCCAAAAGCTATAGCTCTAGATCCACCAAATGGGTATGTTTAATTATTATATGTTGTGTAAAGATATAGCTCTAGATCCACCAAATGGGTATGTTTAATTATTATATGTTGTGTAAAGCTATAGCTCTAGATCCACCAAATGGGTATGTTTAATTATGTATATGTTGTGTAAAGCTATAGCTCTAGATCCACCAAATGGGTATGTTTAATTATTATATGTTGTGTAAAGATATAGCTCTAGATCCACCAAATGGGTATGTTTAATTATTATATGTTGTGTAAAGCTATAGCTCTAGATCCACCAAATGGGTATGTTTAATTATTATATGTTGTGTAAAGCTATAGCTCTAGATCCACCAAATGGGTATGTTTAATTATTATATGTTGTGTAAAGCTATAGCTCTAGATCCACCAAATGGGTATGTTTAATTATGTATATGTTGTGTAAAGCTATAGCTCTAGATCCACCAAATGTGTATGTTTAATTATTATATGTTGTGTAAAGCTATAGCTCTAGATCCACCAAATGGGTATGTTTAATTATTATATGTTGTGTAAAGCTATAGCTCTAGATCCACCAAATGGGTATGTTAAATTATAATATGTTGTGTAAAGCTATAGCTCTAGATCCACCAAATGGGTATGTTTAATTATTATATGTTGTGTAAAGCTATAGCTCTAGATCCACCAAATGGGTATGTTTAATTATTATATGTTGTGTAAAGCTATAGCTCTAGATCCACCAAATGGGTATGTTTAATTATGTATATGTTGTGTAAAGCTATAGCTCTAGATCCACCAAATGGGTATGTTTAATTATAATATGTTGTGTAAAGATACAGCTCTAGATCCACCAAATGGGTATGTTTAATTATTATATGTTGTGTAAAGATATCAGTAATGTTATTTATAAGTTTGAGAGTCCCGATACAAGTCTGATGAACTTTATGTACTTGTTATTCAGCTGTGATCTCAAACTAATTGGCTCGTTAACTCTGTATATTCTAATTTGCAAGAAAAGATAACTGTAAGAAACTATCTACCCTATAAAATCAGACTCGTTCTACACATAACAATTTCTCTAGATGATATCTGGTGTCTATTTCTTTGGTAAAAATAGAAAGTTGACATAAAAAGTGTTTGTTTGACTTTAAACCCTGTTCTTTGTCATTCTTATACCCTCTAAAAATTGATTAAGTTTGGTATCAAATATGCTTTATATGGCTTCCAATTCATTTTTTTATACACATGTATATTGACATATTTAAAGAATTGAAATTGTCATCTTGCCTAGCTATTTTTTATGACATTATTATTATTATTATTTTGTGTTTTCTATATTTTTTGAATTGTAATTTACAGATATATGTACTGGATTGATTGGTCACAACCTCCTAAATTAGAGCGTGCATGGTTAGACGGAACTCACCGTGAGAAGCTGCCAGTTGAATTGGGTCGAGTTTATGGGTTGACAATAGATTACATAGAGAAACGCCTCTACTGGACAGATTTTGACAATAAATGTATAGAATCAGCAAATATGTTAGGTATGTATAACACATACATGTCTCTTACACATCTATAATTTGTATATTCATGTAAGTAATGAAAACTTCATATTTCTTCATGGATTAAACAAAATTTGTGCAATGGCATTGAATTGTTTTAAAACTATTTTATAATTATTAATATTTTATCAGTTAAGCTTATATATCATACTTGATTAGACATATTCTACAATGCTTAATAAGTTATTGTTATTTGATGATTGTAATTTCTGATATTTCATTTAGCTTTGTGAAAACATTTGTTCTGGGATTTTGTCTTTTAAGGAGATTCATAAGTAATTTTAGTTCAAAGCACAGCAGATAGAATCTAGGATTTTCAGTATGTGAACTTTCAATGTTACAGCAGGACCAAATGCAGAAGTTTTAAGTTTCATTTATATATATCATTATTTTTAGGTGAAGATCGTAAAAAAATTGTCCAATCAGATACAGAGAAGGGCCCAATGGCCTTGACCCAGTATCAGGATTACTTATACTGGACAAATATGGAGAAACAGACTATAGAGAGAGCCAACAAAACAACAGGAAATAATCAGACTATAGTTTTAGAATATGTGGATAATGTCATGGATTTACTGATATTTCATGGTTCAAGGCAATCTGGTATGTTATGCATATAATTTAAATGACATATTTTTTTACTACTTGTGTACACACCTTTTAAAGAAGATGGTATAAAGTTTAGTAAACCATGACTAGGTCAGCTCTTATTGTTACAAGTCGTTATAAATTCTAAAATCAAAGTTGTAATATTGTTGTTGTGAAAAGCTTATAGACTAAGACTGGTATTTGAGATATACAACTCCTAAAAACTGCAGCTGTTATTAAACTTGTAAAAATGTGTAGACAAGAAAAAAATATTTTTTAAATTGTTTCCAGGTTGGAATGGTTGTCTAGGAAACAATGGAAAATGCTCCAACCTGTGTCTTGCCCTGCCTGATGCTATCAATAAGACGGAAAGGCAGAAATGTTCCTGTCCAACTCATTACACACTTGATGCTAACAACCAAACGTGCTCACCACCGGAATCATTCATCTTGTTTAGTCAGAAGACAGAGATTAGCCGGTTGATAGTGGATGATGAAAACACTGACACGGCTCCCGATGTCGTTCTACCTATTCAAAATGTACGCAACCCAAAAGCTATAGATTATGATGAGAAGAAAGGTCATCTTTACTGGATCAGCGGGAAATCAAAGTCCATCAAGAGATCAAAGTTAGATGGTTCAGAAGTAAGTACTGCCAACTATTTCCCGACAATTTCCTTGGTGTTATCATAAGACAATAAATGCATGACTGGCAAATGAAAATAAAGAGGGTGCCTATGATTACTGCTTTTATACCTATGATACCCATCAGATTCTGATATCAGTTATTATCATGTTATAAGATTTATTTAGTTTATACAGAATTTATTTTAGTTTGATTGTGTAGGAAGCTATAAGCTTACAGACACACTTTTAAATCCATTCCTGGAACCAACCAGTAGAGCAACAAGTGTAAACATTGTTGCTCAAGGAAACAACGACTTGCCCCTGAGGGGTTTTGAACCTATGCGGCTAGCGATCATTTGATCACTAGACTGACACGTTTACCACTCGGCCATGCCGCCATGACATTTATTTACTGGAAGTCTATATTTTCATTACTTTCTAAGCTTCATTTTGGTTGGGATCTCATTTGCTGAGTGGTTAGATTCTTATTTTAAACCCAATTACCCTCAGCTCAGATGAATTTAACTATGCCAGGGCAGTCAATGTTTTTCATTAAGAAAACTTTGCTTATGTTCCGTAAAGTCATTGGAACTAAACAGAAGGCCAATCAGGCCTGAAATAATATACTTTGGGTTTTTGTTATTTTTCATTTAAACTGTTTAATGGCCATTTGAGCTAAAACAGTCTTATACTTTTAATTCAGTTAGCTGATAGATGATGAAGTCTGTTTTTTATTGTTTACATGTTTATATTCTTAGTGATGTGCTTGTTTTTGAAACGTAAAAATTTGTAAGTTTATTTCCTCCAAAAATGATAATTTGATATAATAACTATCATACATTACATTTTCAGATTGAGAATGTT